AAAGGGTAGGTAGGTACGTAGGACTCCCCACAACATCGAATTTATGGGGGGGGGAGGGGGGTGGCCCATTGAAATCGGACATTGGCCGTGGCCGATTTGGAATCGGCCGTAGCCGACTAGGAATCGGCCGTAGCCGACTGACATTCGGCTATCCCCTGGCCAAAATCGGCTGCTTTGTTTGCCAAATCGGCCACTTTGTTTGCAAAATCGGCCGTTTTTTTTTGCGGCCGTTTTCCGGCCGAAATTTTCAGAAATCGGCTGTTTCGGCCGCGGCCGATGGAGGACAGGCCTACCTATTTTTGTTTTGTTTCCCCGCGGCGCTGTATGTGCCGGGTATTGAGACCACGGGCTCCCCATTTTTTGTGGACTATAGAGCTAATGTGAGAACAGCAACAACAACAACAACAACAACAACAACAACAACAACAACAACAACAACAACAACAACAACAACATATAGTAAATACTTGCGGGCGTAACGCCTCCTGGAGTCCAAATGCGTCGATAACGACAACAACACTGAACCACATCACAACGGTTCCTCCGTCGAATCGTTTCTTTCTTTTAGGACCCATTGGACATCGACACAAAACAGAGCACATGCGTTCGGAAGGCCAGAACAGGGTGCGAACTCTCGGCTGACGAGATTATGCAGGCACTCTACAAGCTTCAGCCTTGCGGCGGCGGTGACAGCAGCAGCAGCGGCAGCGGCGGTTCCACCACGTCGACTTCTTAGGGATGGCAAAGGCCAGACACAAACGGTCAGGGACATGAGCGTCACCGCCTTCCCAGAGCTACAGTATATGCATAGCTGTCACTGCCCCAACCGCGCCGTTCGCGGTGTCTATTTTCTCTATCTCGCGCTGTGTTGGCGTGGGGGNGGGGGGGGGGAAGCCGCAGGATAAGGGTTGTGCCGCATTTAAAATCGGGTCGGCGATGTCTACAATAATAGTACTTTATGAATTTTTCTCCTAATAGTTTTCGGCCGCCTGAAGTGAACGGCAATGGTCGTTCGTTGTACACAGCAGAAGTAGCTCTGCATCATGAAGTCCCTGACAGATTTCTTTTAGAGGTTGCACTTCAATCAATGTGTGGGGATGTGTGCATGGTTGCTGCTCGGTGTTTGCCGTCGATCGAAGAAGAAGAGCCAGTCAATTGCCTTGTGTTAAATAGCCGCAATGCTGTTTGTCGCAACAGAAACCGAACCTCCCTCCAAAGAAAGGTCGTCAATGAGGGTCTCCAGATTTGGTTTCGTTGCATTTGTTTGTCGTCGCGGTTTCGACACACCTCCCTTGCTTTTGATGTACGTTTTGATCTTGTGTCCGTCGACGATAGTATTCACGCAGTAAATAAATGTAGATGGTGTTCTCCCAAGTCTCAGCCGTTTGCCACCAGCTCTCTGGTTTTGGATTGCTTAGTCTAGACGTTGGACACAGCTTTACAGCCAGAGCGGACGTCAAAAGTACACCAATCAATCGATCCTTGCACTCCGTCGTCCAACAGCAAAGAAATCCACCACGTGAAATCCACGTAGAAGTAGATAGCTCACCCGGCAGACTTTGCTCCGTCGCCACGCGTCGTTTGGTGAGTGAATTGAGTGAAGCAACGCCGCCGCCCGGTCCTTGCAGGAAGTTCGTTGGGTCTGCATCGTCTCGATGCTCCTTTTGATTCAACGCTATATAGACGGCTGCAGCAGAGCGCGCAGTCGGTCGTGTATTCATCGTGCACCCTCTCCTCCCCTTTCTTGTAGTTGGTGCTTGCTTTTGATGCGGAGGACCACCACCCGCTATGTATGGTGTCGACTCCACAAACAAAAAGATGAGGCACACTTGGGCACACGGTAGTTGCACATCGTATTTTTTAAAGGCGACGACGTCCATCACTGCTGTCTGTCGTTTTCATCCCTATGACTGTTAGACTAGGACATTCCCAGCGCCGCGCTCACAGGAGACCACGGCAAGTAAGTGTGGGCAAAGAGCGCTGACTGGAGTGGCTTCCCGTAGCAACGGCAGCGCCTGTCCCGCAATCCGACCTACCTGCGGATAGATGGAGAAGTAGGACTTGATTGATTGATTGAACTAAACTACGTTCCGGAAAGGGACACCGACCGACCGCCTTCCTATATTTCGACTCGAGCAAGCTTAGAACGTGTAGTGTGTGTGCATTGTTTGTCCCGTCTACTCTCTAGCGCCAGTGTTACTCAACACATGTTGATGCGCATGTTTGACTCACCAGCCGGGGTCACACACAACAGCAAGGAAGGTCATATAGATAGATAGGCGGGAGTTTTTTTTTGTGTGCTCTCTGCCTTTCCTCGTGCGGTAGAGTACTATTGCTCGATTAGCCTCATGAGTTTTCTTCAGGGGGAGGGTCAAGCCGTTCCATTCCCTCTTCCACCATGAACTCGGGAGTGTGTACTTCTCACGAAACTATTCGTTTTCCACAGCAAGTCGGAGACAAGGAAAACCCTCCTGAGAAGGCACCGAAACAACATCCTGCTACTACTGTAGTAGAAGTACAGGTTTGAGAGGTTAACCGGACGTCGACGTTTGATCAGTTGGAACACGGGTGGAGAGCCGACACCTCACGTCGCGCCCTCTAGGTCTGTACCTCTCTGTGGCATTTAGGACACACAGGAATTTTTTTTTGCCATACATTCGTGCATTTTTATCTTTCGGGCTCAATACCGACATCGTTGTCACCGATCAGGCAATTCGCACACTCAGACTGAAGTACTTTCCATGGTCGGCCGGTTAGCGCGGGAAAGCAAACAATAAAAAAATGAATCACGCGCATACACACAGCCTCCCGCTCGACACCCCCTCACGGGGTCTCAGATAATGGCCTGTTGAATTTAAAGCCGCGCTGAGACTGACGTATTTTCATTGGTCAGCCGGTCAGCGCGGTCGATACAAATAATAGAAAAACACGTTGTTTCTGTCGTCCAAACTCCGGCCCGCTCCTTGTCGGTAGAACCCCTTCGAGTAGAGAGCATGTTTGCGTTTCTTTATCGCGCAATAAACTGACGCCATTCTCATTGGTGAGCCGGTTGTAGCGCAGATGATGCTAAACTAACACACCCAGACACAAAACACATACACTGTGACAACACCGGAGCTATTTCGCTGACTATTAGCGGGCCTTCGAAATACTCGTTTCTCTGCTTATTATCTCTCGTCGCACCTTCTCTGCTTCCTTCTCTCTGTCATGCGAAGATCATCAGACGCGATTGGGCAAAGAGCACAAACAACAAAACCCGCGCAGCTATTACCCAGGCTAAACACCTACTTCCACGTCGCCACCGAAGGAAAAACGGTGACCGACCCTCTTGCGACTGCCCTCAACGCGTGCATCTCTCGCTCGCGGACGGATGCCTAGAGACAGCAGCCCCCCGTATCGTTTCCAACCCTGTCTGCAGAAGCATACATCCGGGTTGTACACGGAACACAACGTTTTTGAACCCTCCCCGCCCCCCACCCCATGAAACATGCCTACCCGCATATGCTTGAAAAAACAAGCAAGGACATGTCGTGACACACACACACGCGGGCGCTGTGTTCGGACACACTTTACCATATGTGTGCCGGAACGGAAAGTTGGGGTATTCATTTGGGTGGGCGATCCAACCGGCGCTCGCTGCTCCGTCCCCCCTGCCCGCCACTCCCGCGACCCGAATCACGGAGAAGGTGAAGGCCTCCAGGGGCGAACGGCCCACCGTCCCACTGCAAAAACACACGCACAAAGACATTGAAGTACATCACTCTGAACAGTAAAGGTAACCTCCAAAGCGCGCCCCTCCTGAACTCTACCGCACACAAAACAAACGTTACACGAAAACACACGACTAAATACATAAATGCAACCGGAAGGGAAAGAAAGAAAGCTGGAGCACTCTTCTACCGTCCAAACCCTCCCCTACACAACAAAGGTGGCCAGCATGGCTGTGTAAATATACCTACTGCATGCCTTTCTATCGCAGCAACATACCGGGGGTGTACGCGACGTACCGGTGCACTTGGCTGCTGTATTTGAAGAGCGTGTCAACAGTAGCCTACTAGAGTCGAAGTAGATCATGTCTTCTTCCACAAACGGAAGACTTGCTTGCGTCAATGCCAATATCATTTTTTCGCATGCGCTCAGCAGTAGCCGAAATTCGCAAAGTCGTGCAGCAGTTATCTAGCTGTTGAAGCTTTCGCTGCACCTGGTGCATACTGCACAACCCGGATTTTCCACCACCCCACCCCCCCAACGCGCCAGCATATCATGGCCAGCCATGTCCTCGTGAGCTGTTGGTGTTGAGACGTCGGCTTGATGAACGCCTCAAACACACTCGCTTTCTTGTCTCATCGAAACAGAGGTCGCCTCAAGAGGTCTGCCCGGTCGAAGCTGTGCCGCCTGCAGACCTCGAGCCGTTCCTCCTCGCATGCGTCCCGGTCGCCATTGCCGCTGGCGCCGCCGCCACCGCCGCCGCCGCCTCGCCATGAGTCGTTTCCTCCCACCATCGTCCCCGCCGCAGACGGTAGCGACCGCGACCTTTGAGCCCAAGCCGACAGCATGCGCGCGACGTCGACGTGCCCCCGCCTCTCTGCCACGTGGCGCGGGTTGCAGCCCATGTCCGTCCTGGCGTGGACGCTCGCTCCGCAGTCGATCAGCAGCTTGATGGCCTCCGCGTGCCCTCCGGCGGCGGCCGCGTGGAGGGGCGTGAGCCCGCCCTTCGAGGGCTTGCAGCAGTCCGCGCCCCACTCCAGCAGCAGGCGGACGGAGTTGGTCGCCCCGAAGGCCGAGGAGGAGAGGAGCGGGGTACGCTGCTCCCGGTCCACGGCGTCCAGCTTGGCGTCGCTCTCGAGGAGAAGGAGCGCGAAGTCCACGCGGCCGGTCATGGCCGCCCAGTGGAGGGGGGTCCTGCCCGAGCCGTCCCGAACGTTGGGGTCGACGGAGGCGGCGGCCGCGGGGGACAGGAGCACGCGACCGAGCTTGAGGATGTTCTGGGAGGCCGCTACGTGCAGGGGGTGGTGACGCATGGTACCTTCTTCGTCGAGGAGGCAATCATCGTCATCGTCGCCGTAGTCGTCACCACCGTCGTCCCTGCTGACGCGGTTGCTATTGTTATTGATGTTGCTGTTACCGTTGCAGCCGTCACCCGCTTCGAGGAAGGAGACCAGCTTTAGGTGCCGCGCAAGCGGGGTCCGCCACGCCCTGGCCGGGATGCCGGACGACGTCGTCGTCGAGATGGCCGATGTTGCTTTCACCCAGTCCTGCCGTTGAAGGAGGGAGGGAGACGGACAAGGCGAGGAAAAAAAAATCACAAGGGAAGGCATGGAAAGGAAGGGTTTGTGGCGCGTCGTCCTGTCGGGCCTGCCGGCACACAAGGGAGCTAAATAATCATCGCATTTTGCCGTTTTTGTTTTCTGTTAAGAGCATGCAGAAACAAGTGCTACATGAATGGGATTTGGAGGTAGACATGTAATCGTGGTCGACCATGGTTATTTTGGCGCCATCGGATGATATTAAAAAGACGTGACGTCATGCTGGATAAGGGTTTATCCCGAGGCATGTGCCCTTCTGTTCAGCGTGCGTGCAGACGATCGCTGATCGTGTGTGCGTGGGATCTTGTCAGTTGGCTTGGAAAGCGTTAATCAAGAGAAAGAGAATGACGGAAAGCAACAACAACCTGCATCTGTGGTCGGACGATACAGCTCCACACAGCACAAAGGCGATTGATTCTGAAGGAAGGGGTCAAATCTCATTACATTAGCCACCACAAACAAACAGGATGAGAAGCGCCGAGACGTTTCCACAGCAGAGTAGGTTGTAGCAATGTATCGTGTGGAAAGATACTGTTGATCCGCGCTCCGTCCTAGGCCCATCACCGCCCGAGCTACAACAACACAATCCATGTGTTTTCTTTCTGACCATGACCCAACGAATCCATCTCTCTCTACAGAAATGAGTCTCAACATAGATGAACAGCAGTGGGTCCATATTTGTAGCGTCAGCGAAGGCTACCTGTATTTCCACGATTTCCCGAGCAGCACACAGCGATATCAGGTTGTCGCAAACCATGAACAATCCCAAGATATTTGTCGAGAATCGACAAATACTAGGCTCTGCGATACTCGGAATTTTCGGCTTGTCGAGTTCATCCAAAATAGAGTGGACGTTAGGTTTGCATGGTAGAGGCGAGCAAGCTGCTCAAATACGCACGGGGGATCGCAGTGTCGCCTCTTCAAAAACACAGGAAACGCCTGGGTATCTCAGCTTTCCAAAGTCTACTCCAGTACGAAACTTCCATAGCAGATTAACCCTCCGCTCGCCACCCCGCGTGTACAACGTTAGAGTCTGAGATTGTAGCCCTTGCGATACACTGCAGACTAGCGGTCCGATATTTTCCAAACGATCCTCCTATGCATATCATCAGGATCGGTGAGCTGTAAGCAGGATTCTGGGAGATGCTGTGCGGTCCGATTTTGAACGCTTCAAGCACACTTTAACGGCGAATCAGCGCCTATGTGAGTGCGTGGGGCCGCCAACTTCAGCGCAGCTCTTCCCTCACGTATCGTACTCGTCGCCATAGTCGATTTGAATGCCTGGGGTCATGTATATGTAGGTCTGGCCACAAGCAGAGGTGCTTGAAGCTTTTCAAAGTCGGACCGCTCAGCAGCTTCTTGAATCCTGCCTGTAGCTCGCCGATCTCGATAGAAGCATCGGTTGGAAAATCGCGGACCGCTAAACTGCAGTGGATCGCAAGGGCTCTGTACAATCTCAGTGTGTCAACATCGTACACGAGGGGGGGTGAGCGGACGGATAATTTAATATTGTCGTACTGGAGTTAGATTGTCGGAAACTGAAGAGTTTTTTCCTGGGGTTTTGAAGAGGAGACACTGCGATCCCTCGTGCGCCCTTCACTGTCCGCACACGCTCTTTCCAAGTAATGGTCATCTAACTCGCTCGAAAGAGGCTGGCCGTGGGTCAGGCTTTTGCTATGCGTACACTTGCATACACAAGCAGATCGTTTTCTTTTTCTCCTATTCGATGGTGAGTACTAACTACGACATCTACTTGTTTAGTTATTTAGTGATAAGAGGATGTTGAAGCCTCTGTGATATCCCACTCTCCGGGATTGTGCAACATTTACTTGCTAATAGTGTGCGTGTTCTTTAGATCTTCTGATGGCTCTCGCATTTTTGTGACCACGGACCGAGTCTTTGCCAGATTTGGGGATTAGCAACTTACACGAGTTTAATTTGAAGGAAACAACAACAACCCCCCCTTTTTTTTCGGTGAGGAGACTTTCTGCGCAACTCCACCCCGCCCTGGTATTTATTTACAGTCGAAAGGTTGTAAAATGATCGTCGGCAACGTCGGAAACATGCTCTTCCCTCGGGGTCTATTCGGCGCCCGGGCAGATATGATTTGTGATGTGTTCTTGGAGTCTTCAATGCTGTGCAGCAAGGCTGAGTCAGTCCTCCACTCTGGAGGTAGTCGCCCGCGCGAAGCTTGTAGCTCGCCTTCAAAGGGGGCTAACTTGGGGGTGTTACGAACGGCATCCAGAGAACTATTGCAGCTTCGATTGCATTCAGCACTGCCAGCAAATCGAGGACCTAATGCCCGCTACTCTGTTGTGTGACGGCGGGGTATTTCCATACTCGCTTGTTGTGTAACGGCGGGGTATTTCCAGACTCGCTTTGACTTCAGGACCAATATGTATATATGTACATGATAAGCGATTGGATTCCTCGAGAAAGCCGCGTCAAGAAAAAAATCTGCCACATAATGTAGATTAGTCTACAGGAGGACAGGAGGTACTCTAGTGTCAGCAGCCGCTGCATCTTCACTGCTTCTGCTTCGCCCCAGCCATTCCCGCCTGTAGCAGTCTCGGATGGGTGTAGATCACGAAATATCACTTACCCAAAGAACGGCTGCTGTAAAATTGTAGACTGGAGAGACCTATGTCCGATGCAGTCATACACAAAACCAAGCATCAGCAGCAAGCAGCTGCGTTTCGTAGAGCAAACAGATGAAATAGCTTTCACCGGCGACGGCGAGGCAAGGTACAGGAGAGAGGCAAATGGAAACGCGCGCAAGCGCACGCACCTTCCGTCAAGAGAAGCGAGGCGGCTCCTATCCTGACAAGAGGTCGAGAGGTCATCGACCTATACAGCAGTCGTCGAGTCTGTCGACCGCATCGCCGGAAAGACCAAGACATGGTTGCCATGCTCTTACCTGCGAACGCATCACGTCCTCGACGTCCATATCGTTGCTTCTTGTGTTCCTCTGCTTCTGCGAGCACATGCTGCTGCTATGCTGGTGGTGATCTCCGGTGGTCATCAATGAGGTAGCAAGGGGAAGAGAATTCGTTCAGGGGGACGACGGTTCTCCAGCAGCTGGCTTGTAGGATATGGAACTCGGAGCCAGCTTGGCACGTGCGTTCGCGATTCGCGGTCAGTCAACGTCAAATCTGACGTCAAATCGGGATCTCTATTTTCAAGTACTTTTGCGGTTGACTCGTTGACTCTTGGGGCGATTGGGCCGAAACGGCACTTTCTCTCTCTCTCTCTCTCTCTCTCTCTCTCTCTCTCCTTCTCTCTCTCGGGTCAGTCTCTATCCTCCCACCCCCTTCGATTCCATCGTGAGACTCCAGATCGTGGCAGAAAGATGGAGAATCATATTCTCGCGTCGAATACTAGATCTAGACTAGCGTTCGGAAGAAACCTAAAGTTAGCTCAGTGAGAACAGAAATCTTATGTATGCATAGAACAGCTAATGTTGATTTTCAGTAGGAATGCATGGTTTTGTGTTGGTGAAGGATCCCCATCGACATTTCCCCTGTAGGTTACAGGCTCATCAAGAAGACAGCTTGGCAGCCGTCGGATGTATCTTTCCTGTATGTTATACTGTCATTTCAAATCGTATTTACACCGACGGGATTGATTCCCCGGTCGCTACATATGTAGCTAGACTATGTGGCGCTCCGCAGAAAACCCCGTGGACGCGATGTTATTTTTGTTGTTGTGTTGTTTCTCAAATTAGCTCAATCGTCCAAAAAAAATGGGGAGCCCGTAGTCTCAAAACCCGGCACATACGACGCCGCGGGGAAACCAAACATTTTGTTGTGTGATGTTAAGAAAATATAAAAAATACAAGAAAACTTTCACAAGCGGACATCAACGCAGTAGTATTTTAGCAAGCTTACGAACGCATATAGGATACCATCAGGATTGTCATTGGTTTTATTTCAAGTTGAAGAGGAGATACTTTTACGATGTAGTAAATGACAGTAGAAATAAGTCCTACATATATATGTTGTTGTACTTCGTATTGGTTTAATATTCATGTAGAGTATGAGACATTAAGTGAAAGTTTTCTGAGGTACATCTGCAATTGTCGGAAGGCAAAAATAAATAAATAAATGTAAATGACAGTAGAAATAAGTCCTACATATGTTGTTGTACTTCGTATTGNGGGGACGCTTCCCACACCCGCCTAAAGAAAGAAAAAATCAAAGGGTAACGTACCAGCACCAGGCATTACGCACCAGGGCATGGGAGTAACGGAGCAAACAGGACAAAGAGGCGGCACATGGGCAGACAGTCAGATGTACAAAAACAAAAGCGCTAACAGCAATAAAAGCGAGATCAAGGTACCTGGCATCCATAAGACTGGCAGAGTAGGGAGCGGGGGGGGGGTGTACTCATAGTCGTGCATGCCGTAGTCGTTAGACCATTGACCTCGCATCCCTNGATATTCTGGAGTCCTCCACTCCCTCTGCGCGCTATGCGAGGTAACAACTGAGACTAGGAATCACCATCACGGGCCGGAGAGAATGAGGTACACCCCCCTTGGTTCAATCTTGGTACTTCACAACGCAAGCAGAAACAAGGCCATCTGGCACAGAAAAAAAGAGAAAACGAGAAAAAGAGAAGAAAATGAAAGGAAACCGTAAGGAAAGAGAAAATGAAATACAAAGAGCGAGGACAATAAGGGACCAGGCCGAAAATATCAAGAATGAGAAACAGAAAAAGGCACACGGTGGAGAGACCACTAACGACAAGCAAACACGCAAACATGGCCA